AAATGACCAGAACAGATATTTCTCTAAAGACAAGTGTTGGTTGTGCTCGCTTCGGCAGCACATATACTAAAGACAAGTGTTGGTGAGGATGTACAGAAAGAGGAATCTTGGCACACTATTGACAGGAATGTAAATTAATACAGTCATTATGGGAAACTGTATAGAAATTCCTCAAAAAATTAAAAATGTAACTACTATATGATCCAGCAATCCCACTAACTATATACCCAAAGGAAATAAAATCAGTATGTCAGAGAGATATCTGCACTCCCATGTCTACTGTTGCATTATTCACAACAGACAAGAAATGGAAATTACCTAAGTGTTCATCAACTGATGAATAGCTAAAGAAAACATGGTAAGTATATATAATGGAATATTATTCACACATAAAAGGGATAAAATCCTGTTATTTGTAACAACATGGATGAAACTAGAGATCATTAGGCAAAATGAAATAAACCAGGCACAGAAAGACAAATGTAATTCAGTGGTAGAGCGTTTGCCTTGGACGCAACACTGGGAGGCAGGTGGAGAAAGAAAACCTGCATGATCTTACTCATACATACGTGGAATCTAAACACTGAACTCAAGCTGTGAGCAGAATGGTTACTACAGGCTGGAAGATGGGGGAACAGGGATCTGCTAGGGTACAGTGTTTCTGTTGGGCAGGAGAACAAATGATTAGTATTTGAGGTGAAGATTTTAAAAACACAACTTTTGGCGTTTTTGATCTTGTGTCTCTGTGTGTGTGTGTGTGTGTGTGTGTGTGTCTAACAAGTTGTCATATGGTAACCAATTGAACCCTTAAAACAATGACCAACTCATTGGTACTCTTAGATCAGAGGGTGAAAATACTTAAATGGTCACATGAATAGCACCTAAAAGAACTATAGTGGACTCTCGAGTTATAACCAGCCTCACATACAACTTGGGTTACGACCAGAATTGTAGTTTTAGCTTATGACCAAAGTCTTGAATTATGACTCAAATGCTGGCTGCTTGTGATTGTAAACAAAGACTCATGATGCCAGAGAAGTGTACATAAGTGTATGTAAGTGTCAGTCTGAGCCCAGATGCATGTATTTGTGGACATGATTTCAGCCAGTGCTTTATATAATTGCTACAATTACTGCCATCAAAATGGTCCCCAAAAAGCTAGTAAAGAAGCTAAGCAAGGAAGCAAAAGTAAAGAAAGTAATCACAATAGAAAAGAAGGAAATTGTGGAGAAATATGACAGTGGCATTCGTGTGACCAGTCTTGCTAATATGCACAGCATGTCAAAATCCAACACTGTATCCCAGAGTCTAAATCCTCATAAGCAGACCACTGTGTTGCATCAGGGCTTATGTGCTTTTGGTGACCAATGCCATGCTTCTGCAGAGCACTATCAGAGCCAAGTTTCAGGACATAATTATGCCTGCAGTAATAAAGGGAGTAGAAGCAAACATAATACCAGCATTTTCCATGTACCAGTGTGGTTAAAATAATTTCTGCAAACGGATTCATTAAACCACAGTCCATTAAACCACAAACTTGTAGAGGAGTGATCTCAGAAACTACTTTTTTTTTTTTTTGGTGGTACTGGGGATTGAACCTAGGACATTGAACATGGTAGCCAAGTACTCTACCACTGAGTCACATCCCAGGCCATAAATTGTAAAATTAGGTTTTCCACAACTTTGTTAATCTCAATATGTTAGTGTTACTCTTTTATGCTGTTACTTTAAGTTACTTCTGAGTGCTTATATTTTAAAAAATGTTATTCTTTACTCATCTGGATATATAAAGCTCAAAATGTTATAAAAATAGAGAATTACATAGCAAAATTCCCTCTGTAATTCTATCACCTGGAGGGCTGGGGATTTAGCTCAGTGGTTCCATCGCCTGTCTCGCAAGCACAAGGACCTGAGTTTGATCCCAGGTACCAAAAACAAAAGTTCAAAGCCATCACCTGGATATTACTACTACTAACACCTTTTGTTTATTTCTTCCAATTGGTTCTCCAGTAAGAAGTTAAAGTACATATATCAAAAGAAGGCAAGATCATAATGCATGTGTAGCTTTGGAAACTGTTTTTCCTTTTGGTGTAATGGGACCACCTATGCATGCCAGTATTAACAGATGAACTTCAGTCTCTCAATAGCTTTATGGTAGCTCATTGCTCTCTATTAATATACAACTGCATTAATCCACAGTTACAGTGCTTCAAAGTACTTACCTGAAGTTACACTTTTGCAGAAGACAGATGTGTTTCTATAATGGATTCCTAAAAGTGAAATGTGGCAACTGATAGCATAGCTATTGGTAAGATGTTCTCAAAGAATACAAAGCTTCCAGTTCTCCCCCTGCCTTCCCCCAACAGTAGCCAATACAGCATGTCATCAACACTGCCTTCCCCCCCCAAAAAAACCCAACACATGTATTTCAAATCAGGCCACTATTTTTAGCAGTAGTTGACAAACCTGACCGTTATGTTGGATTTATTAAGATAATTTTCGAAACTACTGATGCCTAAGCTCTACCCTTAAAGTTTTGTCATTAACATTTCACTCTGACAGTGAAAAAATAACCTGTTTTAACTTACATTTGTTGACTTTCACTGAAGTTGAGACACTATGTACTGATACTGATAGTTCCTCTTCTATGAACTGCTGATTTAATGGCTTTTGCCCATTTGTGAGCTGAGTTGCTCATCTTTTCCTTTTTGTTTGGGGTGTGTGTGTGTGTGTGTGTGTGTGTGTGTGTGTGTGTGTGTGTGTGTGTGTGTGTTTTACCAAAGATTGAACCCAGGGCCTTTACACTGAGCTATATCCCTAGTCCTCTTTTTATCTTTTATTTTGAGACAGGGCCTTACTAAGTTGCTAAGTTGCCCAGGTTGAGTTAGAATTTGCGATCCTTCTGCTCAGCCTCCCAGAGTGCTGGGATTATAGGTATGCACCACCATATGTGTCTTGGCATGACTCTTTGAGAAAAATAAATTCCTTAAAAAAATTTAAAGGAATCTATCCACTTTTTTTTTTTTTCTAGAGTTGATGTTGAACAGGTTGAAGTTACTGCAATCCAGGATCCCATAATTAATTTTTGTCTCTGTAGGAATGTTAAAATCCCTGTCTCCTTGATGTCAATCATCTATTATGCTGAACACTCACCAGACCCTTCCATGTTATGTATTTCAGTCCAGGGACATTTTCTTAAATTGCTTCTTTACTGATTTACATTCTTTTCAGTTTTCTTTTTCTGGAACTTCTGACTAGATACATTGAATGTCCTTGTCTGGTTCTTTGATTGCATCTTTTCTGTTTTTCATGTACCTTTCTGTCTTTAGTCCTAATTTTTAGGAGACATCTTAACCTTTTTCTCCTAATATGACTATTGAGTTTCCACGTGTGTTACAAGTTTTTAATCTCCAAAGTTATCTTGGAGGGATCCCATATATAATGTCAGAATCTTTCCACATATTAGATAATTCTGAGCTACTTACTCCTAAAAATTGAAAATTAAAACACTACTAAAAGCTCTAACCACACAGGTGGCACTTTTCAAGTTTGTGCTTGGAGCTGGATTATACTGGTAGCTAGCTTGGACTCTGAACATGGGGCTTCCTGTTCACCAGCACTGTCTAGCCATGTGGATGAGCACAAAAGCTTTAATTTGCATGCAAATGCTGAATGCTCAGAACAAATCATGGAGATGTTGTAGGTCTGGGGTCCTCTTCCCTGTGCCACTTGAGTAGCTTCCTAGCCAGCCTCACTGCTATCAGGATCTGTGATTTTCAAACCTAGAAGACCCACAGAGTTGTCCTCTCCCACATGTTTTTGGCTGTGGTGGCTGCCTTCAAACGGAGCCTATATGCCTTCAGTCTCCAAGGAACTTCTCAAAATTACTTGTCTTCTAAGAGCACTACTTATTATTTTGCAGTGTTCTTTTACATTTAAAAAACTATGTTTTAAAAAAAAATATTTTTAGAAATCTGTGTGGTCCACGTACCTAGTTCATCATCTTAATTTTGTCTATTTGGGTAATTTTAAGATTTTTTTGAAAATAGTTATTTAGTTTTTCTCTGTCAGATAATTTGGATCCCTGAAGAAGAATTTAAGATTTTTGGGCCAGGGATTTAGCTCAGTGGTTTCAACTGCCTGCTGCACAAGTGCAAGGACCCGAGTTTGATCCCCGGTACCAAAAAAAAAAAAAAAAAAAAAAATTTAAGATTTTTGCTGGGTATGGTGGTGCACACCTATAATCCTAGAAGTCTGAGGCCAGCTTGGGCTACAAGTGAGTTCAAGGCCAGTCTGGATTACATAGACAGATCCTGTCTTGAAAAAAAATTAATCAGTTCTTAGATAATCATCTATTCTATGATTTGCACTAGGTCACATTCCTTACAGTATTCATTTTATTTCCACAAAAACTTGAAAGGTAGATATTATCATCCCAGTTGTACAGAAGAATAAAGTTTTGTCAAAGGTATTAAGCAACTTACTCAAGAGCCCAGGCAGTAGGGTTGGGCTTGGACTGCCGGTCTAACTTGTACATGTACAGATGAAGAAACTGAGGCCAAAGCAGACAACTAATCTGCCAGAATAACAGGTAATTAGGAGCCTTAAAGCTCCCTTGTACACTTCCCTTTTATTACCTAGAGGTTAGAAGTCACATAATTTCCAATAGCATTAACATGTAACTGTTCTTTGATTTCTTTCAATATTGTGTGTGAGAATGGAATGGCAGGCAGGCAGAAGATGAGAGATTTACATAATAGTAACACAGTTTTTAAGAAAGGCATTCCAGAAACATATGGCCTTTACTTAAACAATATGATCCCTATAGTCTGATAAAGCTCAAATGCTATGTAGGGGCTGGTATGAACTTTAAGATTTTTTTATGTTGTAAACAGCTTATGAAAACCGCAGATTTCTTAAGCTCATTTTGTGCTTCCAGCTCTGCCTTTCAGCCTGCAAAGGAAATGCTGTGCTCTAGTCCCTGCTGATGTTTTCCACTTTTCCTGTGATTTTTAAAAAATATTTCCCTTGGTAACCATTATCCCTGGTTACTTTCTTGGCTGATTTTCTGCAAAAAGAACTGAACAGCATTTGTCCCCAAGGGGATCAGTTATTTTAGATTTTACTAAGAAGTCAACTAACATTTTTTCAACATTTCCTTCTGTTCTTTGTTTTTAAAGAAAGCTCTGATTTTGTTTCATTTTCAACTGGAGACTTAAATGACACCAAGCAAAGTCTACTTAGTTTAGATTTCCAGGTAAAAAGTTTTAAATTTTAAGTTTCTACTAAAGCATGTGGAATGGTTTTAATATTTTGGTACTTTATGTGCAAATGTTTAATCCTAGAGAAAATTAGCTCTTTACTAATAGATTTTAAAAGTACAAAGTATGCATTATTTTGTTTTCTTGCTTTTTTTTCAGGATGATTACTTCCCAAATATTTCAAAATTTATAGAATTAGGGTTAAATTATTTTCAAGTTTGGATAGAAATATGTGCTAAAAACAAATATAAATTGGCTTGAAAGTTTCATGCTTTTTCAATTTTTAGTCTTGAAAGATTATTTAAGAATGTTTTTTATTTGAAATCTGTTGGGTGTCATGAAGGATAATAACTGATGGCTTCACGTAGAAGTTTAAAACTCTTAATTTTTAAAGTTTACTTAAGACAATGAAAAATTTCAAATGGAAAAAATAGTAAGTTAAAGTGTGCAGATAATATTTAATAGTTGGGATAAACATAGAAGTGCTAAAAAAGATAAAAATCTTAATTAAAAATGATATTGTGGGGCTGGGGTCTGCTGCACAAGCGCAAGGACCCAAGTTCGATCCCCGGTACAAACAAAACAAAACCAAACAAAAAAAAGATATTGTGATTAGAGTATCATAAAATTTTACCTCTAGAAACATGTTCACTCAATTATAAAGTTGCTTATTAGATATTAATTGTAGAGCAAATTTCTATAAGTCACTGAAAATAAGGAAAGCATAAGCATCAATTATAAAACTAGTATTAAGAAGTCATTTTATAACACTTACTAAACAGTTTAAAGAGGATAGCTACTGGATTTGTCAAAATTAAGGCAGCTCTGTCAATTTACTTCTATACCTATTTAGATTTCTGGGTAAAAATAAGTCAGTGTGTGGGGAGGAAGACAGAATGGGAGGGGATTTCAGGATGAGGATCCTGGGAAACAGAGTGTGCTCACTCTGGCCACAGCAGACACACTCTTTCTCCTCTGCAGTTACGCAGGCAATACCCTGGGTAAGGAGGTGCTCACAGGAGGCCCAGGACAACAGGCTACCTGAGACCCTCATGGGAGTTCATGTCCCGAGCCCTGAGGTCCAGGGCCTGATTTCTCCTGACCCTCACCCATTATAGGACAGAGGGTCTGTATATACGATTATCAAAGTAATGAAAGTCAATGTACACATTTTATGCAATGCAGAACATTCATGCTGTGCATCCATCAAGGCCCACTTGCCCTGCTTCTTAGCAAATTCTGGCTCTATTCTCTCCCATAGCTCAAAATTTCACACCGATTCCCCCTTTGTTATTGTTACTCCTTTCCAACATGCTACTGGCTCTATGAACTGACTCATCAAACTTTTCATCAATACTAAATATAATACAAGTTAAGGTGTCGATAAGCTAATGAATTTGTATCTTCTTTACATTTTGCATGTTCATTTTTCTGAAACTAAAGTAGATCATAAAAATAATCCAGTTTCACTCCAATGATGTATAGTAATGTTTTTGAAGTGACTGTAGTAACTAACATACACGTATGCTGAACAGAAGTTTGATGCTGAGGTTGACACCCAGTATCTCAGTGGTTGCTAACTGCTGAGCAAAGGTGATGTGGTGGCACATCCACACAGGTAAAACCTGATTTAGGGGAAGGTGATTTTGGCAGATGGAGTTATAAAGAGAGGTACTGATATTTAGGAGGGCCAACCAGACACCCTGCCCTCTTGTCCTTCATCAAATCCCTAGAAATAGTACACTGGTATAAATATATAAAAATATGAATATATACAGCTGCACTGGGAAACAAGAGGAGTCTTGATGGGACAGAAACTGTAAGGAGTTCTGCAAATATGACAGGGAAGAGGGGAATGAATTTAAAGAGGGGAAACATAGCCTTGTAAAAGCATGGAGGAAAACAGAGTAAAGAAAACTTACATGAGAAAGATTTTGTTTGAAAAGTCCCAAGAACAAATTAAGCAATGACAGTAACCTATTGCTAGGCACATTACAATAAAACTTCTAAGTATCAAAGATATATTGAAAAACTAAAATTTTTACAAAGGGATGAAAATCAGATTTAAGTCAAACTTATCAACACTAAATATAAGAAAATAATGGGCCAATATCTGTAAGGTATTAGAGGAAAATGATTAAATGATTTTGAAATCATAATCCTATTTTCTGCCAAACAGAATATGTCCAGACATGAAAGAATCACAAACTTCTATAACCTATAAGATTCTGTAAGAGAAAGAGGATATATAGTTCTGCAATTAACAAAATGAAACTGAAGAAGCCTCTTTTGAGAGGCAAGTCAGCCCCATGGATCTGCTGGGAACAACCAGGAAGATGAGAAAAACAACAGGGCCACTACTTGGAATAGTACTGAACCCAGAGCGGTGTGGGCTCTCTTCTGGAAGCATCTGTGGATTCCAGAGAAGGTGGCTGAAAAGCTTCACAGGGCTTGCAAACAGCTTCATGAGCTCGGGAGGAACCAAAAACAAGGAAAAGGGCCAAATAAGCAGCAGGGCATGAGAAGAAGTGGTGCTGGTGAAATCAGTAGGCTTTGAGTTAGATCCAAAATGTAATGATTAATTGGACATAGTGAAGCCTAACTTTAAACTACTCAATAATGATTAATATGCCTTTACCCTCATGCCTAAACCAGATGTAAATCTTCTTTGGATAGAAAATACTGATGTACATCCCAAAGTATTTTCATAAATTTCTAGGCCCTGCACTTAATCAAAAGCCATCAGATAAGTAAAAAGACAAAACAACATGGCTAAAAATCTAAAGAAATAAAACACACACACACACACACACACACACACGACAAATAAAAGAGCAATGATGGTGAACCTTTTAGAGATGAGTGCCGAAACTGCAATCCAAAACCCTCTTATTATTGCAGTGCCAGGACTGCAATTAAACCTGAATACTGAGGTTTTAGTTTAGAAAGAACAACTCATACATTAACATCTTTTGTCTTAAAAGAAAAACAAATAAGATGTGTGTCATAGATTCACCACCATTGAAATAAAGGATACAAAAAACCTAGTCTTCAAAACAAATGTGATTGATATATTCAGAAAAGAAAGAGACAAGATTAAAAACTTCAGCAGAAGGGGCTGGGGATTTGGCTCAGTGGTTCCGCCGCCTGCCTCGCAAGCGCAAGGACCCGAGTTCAATCCCCAGTACCAAAACAACAACAACAACAACAAAAAACTTCAGCAGAGAACTGGAAAAAAAACCACTGAAAACTGAAACGAAGCACAATGAAACAATAAAATTTAATGGATGGATTTAACAGCACAGTTGAAGAGAGTATTAATAAACCAAATCAGTTAGGAAAATAACTAGGAGGAGTTGATAAGAACAACAAATACGATAGAGGGGAAAGTGACATTGAAGTCAGAGCGAAGAGGCTGTTACACAAGTAGTGGGGCTTTTCAAAAGAAGGAGGTGAGAGGAGGAGGAAAGCGCTGTGCATAAAGGGATAAGGACTGGGAAGCTCCCAAATATGATATGATGAACAGCATCAAGCCATAAATTCACAAAGTGCTGTGAATCCCAAACGGAGAATAATACCTCTGTCCATCAGAGTAAAACAGATGAAAGCCAAAGACAAATCGAACATTTTAAAAGCAATCAGAAAAAAGTTCATTTTAAAGGAGAAGTAGTTAGATTGGGACAGGACTTTTCAATAGACTCAAAAGGAACAAAAAGACCTAGAAAAAAAGACAAAGGTATCTTCAAAATGCTAAAGAAAATACATGACAATTTTGTTCTATATCAAGCAAATACATATTTTAGGATAAAGGTAACATGTAAGCACTTTGAGGTAAAAACAAAAGAATTTTCAACAGACCCACACAAAAGTACTAAAATATATTCTTTAATCAGATGGAAAATAATGCAAATAGAAGACTGGAGATACAGGAAGGAATGAGAAAAATTAAGGAGGGTAAATGTTTGGGTAAGGAAAGTTACATGTAGTAATTAATGTCTGGCTATAGCTTTGGTTGTCACAACTGGGAAGAGTGCTAGGGGCATCGAGTAGGGAGAGACCAGGATGCCGAAATCCTATCATATCCAGGCTGGCTCCTCATAAAGAATTACTGACCCAAAATATTAATAGTGCTGAAACTGATAAGGTCTGATCTAAATGAACACTGAATACAAAGTAATAATGGTTTGAAGGCTTAAGATACAGAATTAAAATACATGACATAAATAGCACATGTGCCAAAACAAAGAGGCTGGAGTCAAATTTTGTCATGGTTCTTACATGAGGTAAAGGTCGTAATGTGTATTAGACTTTGCTGAGTCAAGGATGTATATGGTAATTTCTACAAAGAAAAACAATAGTAAAAAGTGTATAACTGCAAGCTACTTACTTGGGATGGTGAAGCAAGAGGAATGCAAGTTCAGTGCCAGCCTGGGCAACTTAGCATGACTGTCTCAAAATAAAAAACAAAAAGGGAGAGGATGTGCTCAGTGGTACTTATCCTAGTCTGAGCAAGTTCTTGGGCTTAGTGAGGAGTACAGTACCAAAAAAGTGTACAACTACTAACTGAATAATGATAATCAATTAAAATGAAAGCAAACAAAAAAATGTTCAGAACAGGCAGGAAAAATAGAAAGCAAATAGAATAGTAGATTTAAACTCAGATATATTGAGCATTACATTAAATATAACTTGATCACACGTTTCCAACAAAAGACAAAGATTATCAGACTACAGTAAAAATGTTATTAATGAAAAGCTCATAAAATATAATATAGAAGGCTAAAAAAAATCAGACAAATATATGTTAAGAAAACATTAACAAAAAGAAAGCAACTACATTAACATTAGACAAAGTAGATCTTACGGCAAAAAGTACTCCTAGAGGTACAGAAAGTATATATAAAAGTGCCACATAAATAACTCTTAAAATTTATACAAGTATATTCTTATAATGTAGCCTCAAGATATATTGACCAAACTAATATTAAAAATTTAAATATTAGCAGATGTGATACAG